GCTTTGGCGTCACCGCAGCAGCTGGCATCGGCTCCGCTCGGTGTCAGCGCCGCTGCCCATGCGAGGAGCCGGGGCTCTGTGGTGCTGGGGCTGCAGGCGCAGCTGTCAGCCTTCAGCACCCCCTCGTTAACTCAGCTTTACCTTTAAAATGTGCCGAGATAAAGAAAGAGATGGTTGGTTGGGCGCTATCGGGGCTGGCGGTGTTGTGTGGGTGGAGGTGGGAGGACAGAGTTGGCTGCAGCCCGCAGCTGCTGGGGCCAGATCCTGCCTGCCCCCTTCTTTGTGCAGGGCTTCACAGATCCCGTAGTGGAGGGAGGAAGGAGGGAGAAACTGAGGTGCTGTGGCTTAAAGTGGCTCTGCCTGCTTGATATTTTTATTGCTTTCATTTAATTTTTTCCAGTATCTCTCAGTTGCTGCAAGAGGAATGTCTTTCTCTGACTGCTTTCAGGGAAACCCCTCTTTTTCCCCTTCTCTTCTCTGCATTACTTTGGGCCTCTTTCCAAAGTATTTTCCCTGGCCTCCTTCTCTGTCCCTTTCCTTTCAGAGCCCAGAGTGTTTCCCAGACGCTGACCAAAGGCTGATGATGTCTTGGTGAGCGGAAAGTGTGAGTTTGGGCTGCGCTGGTGGGAGAGAGCAAAGTGGGGTCAGCACCTCAGCTCCTCCCAAAGGTTCAGAGTGCCCTGCAAGTCAGGGTTGGCATAAATCCTGGGCTGAGCTCCACTTTTCTTTTGCTTTATCTAGCACATGAAAGGTGTCTGTTAGTTTAACAAGAACCAAATGCATGTGGGATGTTTCCCGATCTGTACTGTCTGTCTGAGGCAGAGCTGTTTTCTCCTGCACCTATTGCTTGCAACAAATTACTTGGGAAGCGGAAGGTTCAGGTGAGTGCCTGCTGCTCCAGCTGCACTGCTGAAAGTGTGTGGGCCCTTACGAGGGGGAAAAAATAAAAGAAATAAAATATGTTTCTTTCTGATGAGAGATAAAATATCACTTTAAACTCACTGTTGTAGTGAAATAAATTCACATGCGCTGAGTCCTGTGTAAGAAAATCCCCTTCCCTAAATATTGTATCAATCAGTCTTTATAGTGTGAAAGCGTATTAAGTTTGTTAATGTGTATTAGTTCACGTTCCACACTGTAACGTAATGAAGTAGTGGAATTTTACTGGAGACTGTGATATTGTTCATGTTTTAGTAAAACAAGGTGTCCTCGTCCATGGCAGAGGGGTTGGAACTAGATGATCTTTAAGGTCCTTTCCAACCCAAACCATTCTATGATAAACTGAAGGACAGCCCAGCCCCAGAAATAAGGACTTTGCTTCTTGGAAGCCTAGAGCTGTCCATGAAGGATAAAGGATACTTCTGGATAACCAAGGTAACACCAGCATCCTCATCCTCTAACATGTCTTTGAAACCCTCCCACCATTGTCTGGCATCAGAGATAAGTAACTGTAGCAAGACTGACTCCAGTGATGTCTGGATCAATGGACAAGCAGCAAAAATGCTGCTAAACTATAGCTGCTTTGCAAAGTTTTACTCTGATTAGTAACCATCAGCGAGGATACTAGTGATTAGTCAAATTGAGCTGTACCTGAACGTTTGACAAGTATAGGAACCCTGTGTAAAACCACATTTGGAGTGCCCTGATTTGTCTGGGACAATTTTCCTGACACTTCTTACCATTCCTGGGGACTCAAGTAGACAGTGACGATGCAGATCAGTGCCGGCAATGCTTCGGCGAGGCCAGTGGCATCCAGAGCCTGCCTTAACCCAGGCAGAAAGTAGCAAACCTCAACGTGACCAGTTTGCCATGACACTTCAAATACCCTATCCAGGCCAAAACAAGCTATACCTGCAGAGGTTGGCCGGGAGATGCACTGGCTTTTGGGGCTGTTTGCAGCTCTCAAAGCCCCCCGAGCAGCCTCACAGGCAGAAATGAGAGTGTCAGAGCATCATCGGATAGAGTGATAGCTCCAGCGCTCTCTTTTCTGCCCGTGAGGCTGCTCAGGGGGCTTTGAGAGCCATGGGATGCCTGCGGCTAATTTTGCTTTCAGGAGAGGCAGCGAGGAGGAACGACGTCGATTTATTCCCTTAGACCAAGCCCGAGCTCACCCGCTGTCGTCTGCGCAGCGTATCGCAATACGCCCAACCCGCCGGGCCCCCCTGCCGGTCTCCAGACGTCACCAGGCTCCAGTTATAAAGCACAGGCAATAGAAGCATCTCCCTGGCTTCATCCCTCTGGGAGACGCATCTTGGAGAAGCGAGCCGTGGGCGGGTGGAAAGATGTTTTATTCGGGTATCCTGACAGAGACGAGTAGAAAAGAAGTGGAGATAAGGGAAGCAGCATCTCTCCGTCAGCCCCCCTGCCGGTCTCCAGACGTCACCAGGCTCCAGTTATAAAGCACAGGCAATAGAAGCATCTCCCTGGCTTCATCCCTCTGGGAGACGCATCTTGGAGAAGCGAGCCGTGGGCGGGTGGAAAGATGTTTTATTCGGGTATCCTGACAGAGACGAGTAGAAAAGAAGTGGAGATAAGGGAAGCAGCATCTCTCCGTCAGCAGAGGAGGATGAAGCAGGCAGTTCAGTTTATTCACAAGGATTCTGCAGATCTCCTCCCTCTGGATGGGCTGAAGAAGCTGGGGACTTCAAAAGATACCGTAAGGCTTTACTGTGTTTACTGGCAGGAAACTTAAGCAGCTGGTAGGGCAGTGTCTATTTTTTTTCTTCCTGCCGTTTTCTGTTAGGAGAAGTTGGTTGCTTGTGGAAATTGATTAAAAAGATGAGGCTTTTGTATGTAAAAGGAAGGGAGTAGAAACGTGATGCTAGTTATCACCAGGGTTGCTTTTTGCTAGTAGGTGTTTTCAGATGTCTGGCACTTAGATCTGAAAGCTTTTGTGTGTTGTTTTTTTTTTTTTACATTTACATGAAAATGAGATGCTGTTTTCAGTACAAAAATTCTCTCTGAATCAGAGTAAATCAAAATGGCTTCGTATAATACATACATGTATACATGTATGTTCACCTGTGATGCACACATACGCACAACATATAAGATTCAGTAAATCATAAAGCCATGAATGAATCATACTGAATCATAAAAGATTCAGGAAAGTGCGATCTCTAGTACTTCAAAATATAAAACTACCAAGATTACACTTTGATAAAGATTTATGCATATACATTGGTTTTTAAAAATAAAGATACATAGTTCTAGATTTTAAATATTTACATATGAAATCATCTGTGTAATCCTGTAGCTGACATATGATATTCTTCTTCATGTCCAGGGGCTGGAGAGCATTTCTAAATACTAATATGCACAAATGTTTCAGCTTTCTCTAATGAGAAATGATGCTTACATGTAGTATCAAAAGTTCTCATGTAAGGTGCAAAATCTGGAAAATATATCCTGCTGAGGAAAGCTCCTTTACTTTTCTTTGCCCAATTGTTGCAAAATTCTTGCCCCTTGTAACACACAGTATTTGTTTTTTTCAATACTCAATACAGGTTTGCTGAAAAAAGGCAATCTTCTTATTTTCAGTCAGGTAGTTTTGTTCTGTCACAGCCTTCCTGCTCAGCTGGGCTGGGCTTGGCTCTGCCTACCTGAGATAAGTGGAATGAGTTGGCTGTTCTCTGCAGTGCCTGTGGAGGTGATATTTTTGACATCCCAAATGTTTTGCAGTTGCAGGGAGTGAAGCTCCTGCCCAGGGTAAGGCTCAGAAGGAGCTTTCCTGGTCCCCATTGAAGAGCAGCTCTCCATTGGGGAGTTTCAAAGTGCCTTTCAGAGCGTGATGGTGTTGTTATCACTATTATCTGCAGAGTTTAAATAACATGTCATGGCTCCCGCACAGTGTGCGGGGCTGAGACCCTGATAACAGGAATTTCTGCTCTAGCCAGAGGAGAGAGGCAACAGATATCAGGAGCCACGGGCACTGAGCGCTGAAGTCCTGGTCCCTGTGGCATCAATGACCAGGTTTGGCCCTGGCACCAGGACAGAGCACGGGGCTCTTTGCCACAGCTCTGGTTACAGAAATGCCACTCGAGGTTCCCTTCCCGCTGCTGTGTTCGTGTCAGCTGAGCCGTGGCTGCAACATCCCCCCTGCGGCACCCACAGCCCCTGCCAGGAGAATCCGCATGTCAGGGGCTCTCTCCAGGGATGTGCCAAAGCCTGGGGAGGTGCACAGCTCCTGATCCCGAGCACGGGGCTCTTTGCCACAGCTCTGGTTACAGAAATGCCACTCGAGGTTCCCTTCCCGCTGCTGTGTTCGTGTCAGCTGAGCCGTGGCTGCAACATCCCCCCTGCGGCACCCACAGCCCCTGCCAGGAGAATCCGCATGTCAGGGGCTCTCTCCAGGGATGTGCCAAAGCCTGGGGAGGTGCACAGCTCCTGATCCCCTCCAAGGACAAAAAGGAGGTGTGGGGTGGCAGAGGTGCACTGCCTGCCTCGGCCGCCCTGGCTGCGGCGGGTCTCCGGCTGGGGATGGGGTGAGAACCGTGCTGGTGTGGGACACCCCACTGCAGCCCACCTCGTCCCCGCACTGCAGCGAGGGACAATGGGACGGCGGGACGATGAGGCCAGGGCTTACCTTGGCCACAGCCTCTTGCCCTGTGGGATGCATGAGGAGTCCCCAAAGTGACCACACTGGCACGTGCTCAGGCCCATTCGCACAGCTCCAGAGAAGATGCTGAGAATTTCAGAGTTGTTGCAGCGGGCTGTGTTGCAGCGAAGTGACGCCATCGGCACTGTAACGCTTGCACCTCACGTGGCCGGGATGGCAGTGAGCATCGCTTTGAGAGCACCCACCGTGTCCCCCCAGCGCTGTGGCTGCCTGGATGTGACAAGAACTGTCCACCGGAGGAGTGGGAGACCGTGCATCTCTGAGACTGGAGAAGCACCGAAAGCCTCTGAAATGTGAGACCCTACCTTGGCATGGCCCCAAACCAAGAGGTCCGGGTCCAGAGGGGTTGAACTGTGCTATCAGGAGGCCCGGGGCATCAGAGGGATATTTGCCCAGGGTGTTTGCATGCCTTTTTTCTGAATAACTGCACACCTCCCAACAAAGCAGCACATTTTTGTGTCTAAAGCTGCAGTGACGTGGGTGGAAGGGCTTTTGACGTGACTGGTGTTATTAATACAGGGTTTCTCACAGGGGTTTTCCAGTGGCCTCGGCAGGAGAAGAGAGGAGGTAACAGCTGCCCAGAGATGGGGACAGGTGGTGAGGACAGAACCTGTCTGTCAGGGTGACAGCTGGCAGCAACCACTCTGATGGTGGGGAGAAATCCCCTTCCTTCTGGCCGCAGCGTAGGGAGTGCTGCACACAGTGAGGTGGCAGCAGGTCACTGGGGCGGGTGTTCTGGTGTCCCCCAGCTTGTGTGTCTGCTCTTACTCGGCTCTGGAAGTATCTCTCCTGGTGATGCTCGGTATAGGCAGGTTTGATAAATACTTGTTGTAATTATTTATGTTAAGCCTCTGATATTTTTCAGGGTATGATTCTGGGTTGGACTGAACTCTTCTAGCTCCTTGCTCCCTTTACAAATGCCACTTTGTTCGCCTAGTGTAAGACCACACTGTAGCATAGCATGCATTGGATGCCTACTGGCAAACGTAGGGCTGGATATGCAGAGCAGAAATGATTTTGTTCTGATGCCTCACTATTAGCCTCCTCCCTCAGAGCCCAGAAAATCAGCACGAGATGGTCTCGTTAGCTGGGATTTGGGCTTCCTGACATCGTAACCATGACCCCCTGCCTGGCTCGGGCAGTGCATGCTAGCTGTTGGCAGCTCCTCCTCGTGCTCTGACACTTTGCCCTCGCGCCAAGAGCTGCTGGGGCTTTGCCTGTTTGGAGGGGCTTTGCTTGAAACAGTCCCACATCACTTTACAAGCCAAGAAACAAAGTTCTGAATGGTAACAAACAACCAAAAAAAGCATTTCCCCCTCCCAAAATGCCCTCAGAGCCTCTCCCTGGGCACCCAGGTCCTTAGTGCAGCTCTGGGTGGCCCCGTCTGTGCTCCTGTAGCTGGTGCAGCACTGCAGTGAATCACAGGGCATTCAGATTTCTCCACTTTCCCACTGTGTGCTACCCAGAGTTTCTTGTGTCTTAGTTAAAATATAAAAAACTTTGATGTTACGTGCACTGTCTTGGTCAGAGACCTGGCCACTGCCTGGGCACCTGGGGGTGCAGGAGAGCAGGGGGCATCTGTTGTCCCACCTCATCCCCCTGCAAGAGGGGCTGACAGCATGCGAGCACAGGCTGCTGGGAGAAGGGGTGAATTTGGACGAAAGATGGGAAGAAGAGAGAGAAATTCGTTGTTTCTTGGGACGAGCTCTGTTGATGTGTCATAAATCCTTTTTTCTCCTGTCTAGGTACAGCAGAGATGGCAAACCTCCTGAGATGGGTTTGGGGAGGGGAAGAGCTGGCATCTTCCCTGACTTTCATCTCCACTGGAGTGAAACTGTTGTTGACAGGTCTTGTTATCCCCAGATATAGAAGCCAAAATAGTGAGAAACCTGCCAGAGAGATGGATACTGCAAGCTGCAGCGATGTGCTTGCTTATAAATTAGAAAGGAACAAAACTGGACAGAATTATTTGTGGTTTTGACAGGCAGTGGTAAATAGGCTCAGCAATAGCTGGTGTCTCCCCTCACTTCTTTTAGGTTTCTACTGTGACTTTTTAGGGGACTACAGGTTTTTGAAAAATCTCAGCGTTTGAAAGGGACATATCTTACCAAAAAAATCCTGGTTTGTGCTTATATTATGCTGAACGATACTAGGAAATAACTTATGTTTCTGCACTTACACAATGGCATGTAACATTTTATTTTTTTATAAAACTTTCATCATTTTTTTACGATGCATAGAAAGACAGTAACAGATAATCTGGGTTACTTCAAGCACTGGTTGCTGGCCCATGCTGGAGGGAGAACGTGGCTGCCTTCCCCATCACTGTCACGGGGAGGTTTTCCTCCCCTCCCTCCCTCCCAGGCATGGTCTGCTTGCAGTTTTCCAGCAAACTGCGTGTTTGCAAATGTCCCCTGGCACATTATTTACCAAGTATGTATCCATCACTTGAGTCATCTCTGTGACTAACATCCCTCACTCTGTTGCACACCAGAGTCAAGGGAAATACAAGTAAAAGCAAACTAATTAATAGCCTGAGACAGGATGGTGCTGCAGGGAACCTTTTCAGCCCCCTCTTGCTAGATTATTTCTGTGTTGGAGCACAACGTAAGCAGCATTTGTCCCCTCAAAGGCAGGATTCACTGTGGCTTTCAGAAGAGCAAGCGTCAACAAAAGATGGTCCCGTTCGTGGTGGTAACTCGTGTTCGCTGAATGACAGATTTTTTTCCTTTCAGTGATGGATCCCATATAGGATTCATAAAACGAGGGCCTGAGAAAACTGGTTAATGATCTGTAGGAGAACCACTAGTAAAAAAAATTTAAGTTTAAATCAAGGGTAGGTGACAGTTAAAATAGCAACAATGAGTTTGTTGGTGACTTGTTCTTCTCCAGCCTGTTTTTTCAAAGGTATTTGACAATGTGATTGAGGCCAGGCAGATCAGAAGAGCACCTGGACTGTCCTGGATGAAGCCATTTAGAAATTTCTCTGTCCTATCTGCGTGGGGCTGGGCACGAGCAGGTGACCACTGTGTGACAGCTTGCTTCTGGCCAGCTGGCAACTGCACCTGTCTACTTCTCCAGCCCTGTATCCCCCCATTTTTTTTTTGGATGATGTGAAAGATTAGTCCTCCAGATGTGTGGCTGAGTTGCAGGCAAACATCAAAGGTCAGGAGGACGCGCCATCCACTGGCAGCAAGCCCTGGTTTGCATTTTTGCTCAGATAAGGAGCCTTTGAGGTCATCACAGCGCTGACTTGACTGTACACCTATGGCTTCTACCTCATATAAGGGAGACCTCACTTCCAAACTGATTTCCTCATCCCTCAGCACAGGGTCCATTACTGTTGGAGCTGGTCTGCCTGCCTTTAATCTGCTTAAGTAGTACTGGTTTCTGCTGTTCAGTCTCCCTGGGAAGGTGGTGGTCTGCAGAGCAGTGCAGGAGCTTTGTCACTTTTTGCACATGAAGGAGAGGGCGCAACGTCAGACCTGATTTCTCCCTGTCACTGGGAGCACGGTTACGTTATCGCCCTTATGCAGGACGTGCTCTCTAACATGCTGGGCAGGCACAGCACCTGCAACTGAAAATGGTCATGAAATGATATTTCCTTTCAAGTGGCAGGTTGTATGCAGAGGTAAGAACAGAGAAAAGTGGGGAAAAAAGGAGATTACGTGTCCCGGTAACCACTGGTGTTTGCCGCACCTACCCAATCTCATCGGTCAGGTCCAGTTTGACTGCCTGTGTTACACCTACAGCAGGATCTGAAGTGCTAACGTGGTTGCAGTTATTTTAGGATGATGCCAAGTTGCATTAGCCTTTTGTAAGTGCTGTTATTTAACATGCCGCACAGATTATTTTAAAGATGAGGTGCTGGCCAACTCAGGGAACCATGGCCTGAGGTTATCAGAGTTATCCTGATCCCATTGAAATTCCCTCGGGATGAGGAGGTTTGCTGGTTTAGAAGTCTCTGCAGGCACACAGGCATATTTAATATGAATGCAACAATTCAGGAATAAGCCAGTAAGAAGGTCTCACTGTGGACAAATGAAAATCAGAAGGAAAGGGCAGTAATGGGGGGGTAGATTAGGCAGGCAGAGAAATGAGCAGATAATCAAGCAGAGTCATTTCACCTCCAGCAGAGTATGTCCATCCATCCGTGATGAACACGAAACATAAAAAGGCTTTTGGGAAAGCAGTTGGAGGAAATTTTGAGAAGCACCATGCATCTTGCAGAGCAAATGGAAATGACAGAGAAAGCGAGAAGCTGCTGTAGGAAGCATTGGGGGAAGCTCCTAGC